CTTTTGGCATGTATATCTGTACACACTTCACATTTTTGTCTAGAACATGTAACATATTCTTTCTGTAGTTTTTCAAGCTAAATTGAAGGAGACTGGTCCCAAAACGATCAGGCCAATTATTTAGAAGTTATAAGTCGTTTTATGTACAAAAGTACAGTTTTGAACTTGAACTTATTTACACATCTTACAATGCTAAGCAGACAAGTGAAGTACTGTTTCTTATGCATTTTTTCTAGATTAAACGAATGTTATCTAACAGGAATCTGAAGGCCAATATTTCAAAAGTTTATTTTTTTTGTGTGTATAAACATTATTTTTGAATAGCGTTTATTATGAAAAACACTCTTATAACTTTAAATCTGCTTATCCTATTAACTCAAATTTTATCGTATTCAATTCAGTGAAAAAATTATCATTGGAAAATTTACCTCATATGTTCAGACAGCAAATTAAAAAGTGTGCATAACTCATGTCGAAAAAAATTCCTTATATGCATGAAAACACTTGCAACTCTTGTATTCGGCATTCTATTGACTCGTGTAGAGTTTCATTCGACTCAGCGTAAGGAAATACAAAAAAACAATGCTTCTTGTTAGATTAGATATACCAAATATGTAAATAGGTACAAATACATATTTGCACGTTTTGTATATAAATCTCTTATAACTTCTAAACTCGCTCTATCATCCCGTGATTGGTCTCATTTGATTCAGCGTAAAAAAAAAATACAATAGAAACATTGCCTAACTTGTACGTCTGGAAAGAGTTCAATTAATTCCCCCCCCCCCGAATCAAAATTTACCCCAAAAAAGGGAAAAAGAGTAGGAGAATTTTCAGGTACTATTTTAAAAGGCAATATAAAGTTTTCGATGAAAAAAAAAAAATCGTGGGTATTAATTTTCACTTAGAAAAAGTCTTATTACATTGGATTACTGCAAAAACGTTAAAACTATAAATTTACGTATTTTTAAAATTCTACTTTAATTTTTACTCAGAGACGTCTTTTTTTTTTTTTTTTTTTTTTTTTTTTTTTTTTNCTTTTTTTTTTTTTTTTTTTCTTTTTTTTTTTAAAGCCTTTGTTGAACAGCCGACCCAATTTTGAGTCCATAAGACGAGGAAACTCCTGGATCAAGTATTGGGAGAAATTTGCTTTAGTATAGGACTTTTTTTCTGAAACTAACCTATATTTGCGTTACAAGGAGAGGAAAACCACGAAAGCCTCCCACGGTTAGCATGACGGCAAGGGAACTCTAATCCATGATCCATCTACCCCTTTTACGTCCGCACTGTGGTCGGTGTGAGTAGCCGGAAGCGGAATTCGTATCGACCAGCAATATCTAGGATTCGCACCCGGGTTACCTCATTGGGATGGGCTCTGTCTCCTGAGCCACCATGGCTCTCAGAGACTTCGTCACGCCAAAATAGCTGCGAAAAGAACTACGTCATTGCTATACTTCGGTTCATTCGCTAGTCGCAGAAGCAGACTTAGTTTTCGCGTAATTTTCCTATTCTTAACATGGCAATCGCAGTATTGCTTTACTTAATTTCTTTATTTGAAAAATTAGTAAATAATATATGAGCTGAATATTCTAAGGTGTATATTACAAATAGTGTGCCTTTTCTAAAAATACCAAATAAAGTTTCGTTTTTTTTTTTCTTTTTTTATTTCAGATAGTAAAAGGAATTTAAGGTTAATTAAACTAGAGCCTATTGACCTAAGAGTTCGAAACCCAGTGATCACATTGGAATATTTGTTTAGCAAAATCTTTCAAAGTATATTTTAAACTAATAATTCAAGTATTAAACATTTATTTTGTAAAAAAATATTTTTTTAATTAATAAATATTTTTTTACTTAAAAAAATATTTTTAAATGAAACATTGTCATACCTATATGTTTTCGGACTTATTACGTATTTTAAATTTGCATTAATAACTGTCGTCTAATTTCTTTTAATTTATTAAAATGAAAAATAATTTAATAAAAGAAAATTTAATTATAATTTTTTCTAGTAAAATGCCTCTTTAGGATAACCTATTGTGGCTTCATATTTTGTCTATCTTACTTTTATTTAATTTAATTTCTTTTTTAATCTAAAGAATCTAGTTTTAATGAATCGTTTTATTAATTAATGTTTTTTATAAATGTATATTTGTTGCATATTGGTTCAAGTATTTGGTTTCAATATTTTAAATGAATTAGGTAATATAATACATTTGAATGTGAACTATAATGTGACGATAGAATTGAAATTAAGATATTTAAAACAATGATACAATTTACTTTTGTTTGACAATTTTTTGTTCTTTTAGAAATTTTTTTAAAATTAAAACTTAAAATTTTGTTTCATATATTGTACTTTTTCTTTTGCAAAAAATGCAGGTTGATTCTTACAAAAAGAAGAGCAAATAAAACTTATTTTACTAATCACAAATATTTTTTATAGGTATCATAACAAAATAATATTAAAATATAAAAATATTTATTTTTCTGAGAGTGCAGTTATTATAACTTCAGGAGAAAGTATAGTTGTAACGATTTCTACAAAGTTCTTAAGTTGTAACAATTGTTACTTTATCTTTTGTTTAACGATTTAACTGAGGTAACTTCTTTTTATCATTAAAGATTTATTTTACAATTTCTAATTTATAATAAAATGGCTGATTTTTTTTTCTTTCAATAATTCCGCTATATCTCTCTTTCTCAAAAAAAAGGGGGGAGGGGGTAAAATTATTTTAATGACGAGTAAGTTGCATAAAAAGTAAGTTTTATCCTTAACTTCTTTTTCTTTTTAAATGGAAATGAGGGATTGCTATTGCCAAGGGGATGGAAAAAATTCACCGCTTTTTCCAGAGTTATGTTTGGATTTTCATGTATGCAGATTTAGACGTAAATTATATACTTTGACGAGGCTAAATTCGAAACAGCTAATAGTTTGTTTTCTGTTATGCTTTTTTGTTTGTTTTTTTCAAAAAAAAAAATGCTCTTTATTTTCCATTTAAGCACTTTTTCCATTATACAACTCTTAAATTCTACCTTACAAAATTGCTTTCTACCAAATGTTATAGTTATTCTTGCCAATCTTTGAAGTCATGCCAAGGGCTTGTCCACTTTAAGCGTCAAAAAATAATCCTTGTCAGCTCAACTCTATCATTTCTCTAAATACTACACTCTTAACCAGTGGCGAATCTTGATTTTTCCTTAAACCCCTGTCAAGAAATTCTAAACGAACGAAATGGAAATTGAATTTGATCTGGCCACTCAATCCACACCTGGATTAATCATTCGAACTGAATAACTCTTACCCAGTTAAGAGTTCCACGACTTAAAAATCTACCCTGTGTGCAATTTATTTCGTTTTGCGGGATGTTGGGCCTACAAATTCATTTCTTGCAATAATGATAACAGATGGCGTGATAGTAATTCGATAATACCTTCGAATTTTAGAATATTTCATTCGTAAGGAATTAGCCGAAGACAAGGAAAATCTGATTTGAAGCGAATTTTACCGAATCCATTTCTGCCGAAGTTGTAGATTTCAATTGCTTTACTGTTGAACTAGCATTGTCTCCTTTCAAAAGACTAAATTATTTTATCTTTTAGCCTTGAACGTGAAGATTGTTTTTGATTTAAATTATGTTTAAACTTTAAGGCAGGTATTTTTTTTAAATGAAAAATGAATAAACAAAAAAGATTTTTTTTTTCAATGAGATTGAAAATCTGGTTTATTTTTCAATTGGTGTTAAGCACAAGTTTTTCTTTCTAACGTAATTTGGATAAGGTGTGGTTTTGTTTGTTCATTTCTATTCGAAGACATTCCACCAATTTTAGAGATTGAGGTGCGCAATACAATGTTAAACACTATTTTCAAATTATTTAGTAAAGAGATTTTAAGAGAAGATTCAAAATTATATATCACAAATAATATTATTGAATATAGGAAATTCTCTTCTATAGGCGATTAAAAAATAAATACCATAAATACCTATTTAAAAACAGTGCTAATGTACAGTAAGATGTAAAAGTGTCACATTTGGCAAAAAGCGCACTTTATCAGCCATTGTGTTATTTGTAAGTGTGGTTTATGACGTCAAGTCATTCAATTTATTCTATAACTATCGTTATATCTATCGAACTACAAAATTTTTGAATTTAGAATTTTTAAGTTAATTATAAGTTTTGAATTTACTGATGAAATATCCACTTTTTTATTTATTTATTCATTTTTTCTTTTTTCTTTTTTTGGGGGTCCAAGAACGCTTCGAAAACCCAGGATGTTTAGTTATAGAAAAAAAAAAATTCTCTGAATATTTTGAGGGTGGAAAATTCGGAGTGTTTCAGAGAATGTACATTCCTGTTTTCTTATTTCATAATATAAAATATTGTTTGACCCAATTAAATATAATATTTAAGGTTTACCCCTTGATTCCGTTAGATTGCAGGGCAGTATATAAAAAAGTCCGGTCATTAGATAAGTAGTTACTCGATTTTTTATTTTCGGCCTTGTGTTTCATGTTGAACTACGTTGTCTTGGTCCTAAAATCAAAGTTTTAAAAACATCAAATTTTTGACAATTTAATTTAGCTTAAAAATAAGAAAATTTATTAAAAACAGCAGATATTTAAAAAGGAAAAGAAAATGTATATAATAAGCATAAATTAAAAAATAATAGTAAAGGAAAAATAGTATTTTCTTAAAGAACAACAAAGCAATTTATAAGGAATTTAAAGAAAAATATTTTAATGTAGTTTGTATAAAAATTATTGCTGTCTCTATTTTTGTTTAATTTAAGATTATTCAGTTGCAAAACTGTGCTGATTATCCTGCATTGTGAGTCCTGCATTTCTTTGGGAAATTATTTCGTTAAAAAAATTAATGTTTTTATCTTTTTTTCATTAAAAATTAAATCTTATATATATATATTAATCATATATAATAATTTATAATTTTTTTTATATCCTATTAGGTTTTTTTTAAATAAAATTTATGTAAAAAGTTTTAGTTATAGTTTCAGATTATATTTTTTATTAATTACATTTGATTATTATGCATAGCCAAATAAGTCTGTTTAAACCAAAAGTATAAAGAAACCTGCAATTATTAATATTCACCGATTAATTACATTGACCATAACTTGCATAGTTTTAGAATCTTTATCAAAAAAGAAGTCAAAATGTTATGAAAATTAGTTATTTTAAATAATGAAGCAAGAAAAAATAAAAAGGATTTCGAAAACTGTCTAGTCATTAATGGGAAAGGCGAGATGAAAACATCAAAATCTATATGATTGGCGGATAAAACTTGAAAATGTTTCTAATAATAACCTTCAACTTCTTTTGGTTAGTTAGCAATCAAACTGGTTTAACGATTTTGAGACTGTTTTTTTAAAATTTCGATAGTATTTTTTTCCTCCTTTACTAACTTGTGTCAACTATTATCTGTACTTCATCACTTCTATTTTAAAAAGGATTCTAATAATAGATATTAAGAGCAGTTGTTATAAAACACCATGTATAGTTAAGGGGAAAAATAGCTATTTCATTTTTCGTTGATCAGAATAATTGAAACAAATAATGTTGAAAATCTAAAATAAATAAGCAGATTAAAAATTATCATCTTTTATATTAGCTTTAGATTCACTTATTGAAACTTTAAACAGTTTATTTATTAATTTGATTTTAGCAACATTTTCTTAGTATTTTAAAATTTATCCTAATTCGTATGCTTTTAATCAATATCATCGCAAAAATTAAAGAAAATCTTAATTAACTCGTGACAAAACAGAACTTTTGTTTTAATTACGTTTTATTCAAGTAGCAATAGTTATAAAATCATGATAACCATTGATTTTGGAGCGATTAAAACCGTTTATAAATAAAAGAGAATAAATTATACTACAGCAGAAAGAGAACAGTGTTGAGAGAAAATTTCTTTTTATCCCTGTAGCAAGGTTTTGCTTTCTCTCCTAATTTTAAATTATAAAAATTAATGTTGTAATTTGTTAAATCTGTTCTGTTACTTCTTATTGAGTAAATTAATATTCGCCGGTTTTTCAGTATCAAAATAAAAACTACTTCCGGAAATGTTCCATTTTGTATCCATCTCCCTTCCCCTCTTTATCCTGCTGAACAATTCTTGATTTCCCAGCAGACGATGCCAATTTCACGCCCTCGTTAGAGACGCATCGATGTTGGTTAACAAACTAGATAACAGATGGCAGCATCAGTTAGTCATCGTCTTAAACTTTCTTTTTTTTTTCGTTCGACACACCACCGAGTGAGCGAAAGAGTTGTTTAGCTTTTTACCAGCAACAGAGTACGGTTGAGAGTCGGTTTGCCGAGTAATGCGAGTGTTGATGACCGGTCACTCGGTTCGCTCAATGTGCCGGACGATAATAGTTACAAAATAAATAAAGAACAAAAGAAAGGGAAAGCGTGAAAAATCCTTCACACGGTAGCTGATGCTGCACAAAGTCTTTCCCGTTACAAGAGGGAGACTTTTTTTTATAACTTTTTATGGTCAATATGAACTGTCCGAAGCAAATAGTCTCTCCGTAGCTGTGGATTATTAGCTGAAAAACTAGCTGCATTACTTTCTCCAAACAATGCCCTCCGGCACTTCAGGTAAGTGCTTTCAAACGATTTGTAACTTTTTAATAACTTTTCGCATCACGTGGTCGAGGTGCCTGTCCTGTGTGCCGTAGTTGTTACAGACGTGAAGATATATTTTTTTTCTTATTATTTGTTTATCTTTCAACAGCTGGGAGAAGTTTTCCATGCGGAATCTTTAACCTATGTAAAAACATTCGATTTTGATTTAATTATATGCATTATAAAGACTGCATTTTTATCATTTAATATTGTTTTTATTTATTTTACTGATTTTTTTTGTGTTTCATTAATTTTGCTGTTATTGATTAATTCTCATAGTGGTTGTGACAGAGTCAATTTTGTACGACAAAATTTGCATAAAATTGAGATGTTTTATCGCTTTGCTCAACTTGATTAATTTTCATAGTTGCTGTATTGGATTCAGTTTTATGCTTATGACTTTTTTCACTTTTTTCACATATTCACTACAACGGCAATTTCGCTTACAAATTACGGAAAGAAGTAAAATATATATTTTTCAAGCAGCCAATAAAAATTTTACTATAAACAAATGTCTATAAAATAACAGTAATTATCATGAAAATCATTCAGCTCATTTTTAACGCAATTATGTAAAGATCTGATGATATTTGCCAGTTATAATTAAAATAAAATATGTGTATTATCATTACAATACAAATAAACGGTGTATTCACTTGAATCCCAATGTAAATTTCATATTGTGATAAAAAAATAATTAATAATGCTGAATTTCAAGTACAAATTCTTTGGCATTAAGTAACAAATTGAATAATATCAATTTATAAAGTTCAAGTAAATATTTATTTTACTTCTAGGAAACTTATAAGAAATTAAATTCCAATTTAATTTCAATGTGATAAAAAATGATAAAATCAAATTATAGATTCGCGAGACGTGTCGAAAATAAGTTAATCACAATTATTAACGGTACACGTTTTAATCGCTATTGCTGCACAAATGAGCGATTCATAAGTTTTAATTACTGTTGCGGGACCGATTAATGGGTGGTTTTATAACGTGTCATAAATATTAGTATCTAATTTTGTATAGTATTTTACATCATATAGGAAGAATTTGAATAAATAAATTGTAAAGATTATTTATTAATTCATTAAATTGACAGGGAAAATGTCCAAAATTCCTTTAACAATAAGTTGCTGTAAAAAACAAATAATGTACTTGTGACAAAGGTCGAAAATTAAGCATTAATGTTACAAATTAACGTTATTACGTTTTAGTCGCTACACGACAAAAATCAACTGAATGAACGTTTAAATCATTTTTGCGACATGAAGTAATATTGCAATCACTGATTACACTACACAAATTAATGGTTGTCTTGACTCATTATTATAACTAAGAGCGGTATTTGTTTATGATTTAGTTTAATTTTTACAATATTTTTCATTTTTTTAATATCGACAAATATCACATACTTTGCTATTTGCTGAACAAATAATAAAAGCAGTTACAATTATAATAGTGTAACAGATAAGAAGTACTTAGATTAAAGTTCAGCATACTCTTGTTATGCAAGATGTTCTTTTGAAATGTATTATATATTTTTAATTTTAATTAAAAATTACAGACTATTTGCTTTGCTTCAATTTATGCCGTATTACCAAAGACTATTTTTCTTAAAGCTTTTTGTAACGCTTTCAGTAGTGTAATGAAAAATGTATACACAATTTAAGTTTTGCATTTACCTATATGAAAACATGAATGTTTATTTAATTATAAGTTATTTTATTAATTTTTGTTTAGTCTCTTGGTCACTTCATTTGAGATTTTTTATCGGCGAAGTACATTCATATCAAAGCTATTTAAATTATTTCATTTTTGATTGGTATTGAACTACAAATTTAAAAATTATTTTATTTGAATTATTTTATGGATATTTACTTTGAAATATTTTTTATTTTGCTATTTGTTTATTTTTATTTACTTAGTTAATTTTTTTGTAGACTGGAGTAAATGCTAGTGAATGCGAGAAACCATCCAAAAGTTAATTGATTAATCTTTCATAAGTTAATTGATTTACTAACACTGTTTTTCAAATGAAAAGAAACGTAGACTCGTTACAGTGTAAGTGCATTATAATCACGTGACGCAACTATGTTTTGTAGGTAAAGAACAAGTTTTGGTGAACGAAAAGCGTTATGTCCTTGGAGCGAACATTTTTATGCTTTCTTATATGCATATCGACTCCGTGTGTAATCGTCACATTTGTATTTTATCGTTTATTGCTATCTATTTCCTTTCTGCTTCCATTTTCATAATAACGAAATAAGTTAATTAAATTAGTTCATATTGTTACAAATAATATACATGTATATAAATGATTCCTTAAATATTGCATTAGGTTATAAATTTCTGAGATTTCGTCATATGCTAATAATACCTTTAACGGATTAATATTGTGAAAACATGAGTTATAAAGTATCATAGATACGTTATCGGGCAATATTTTTAAATAATCAATTCTGTATTGTGCATCAAGTATCCCTAAAAGTACCCTTTATGGAGAGATATTAATTCGTCATTTACATAAAATATTAATAGCATCTTTAGCGCAGAGATATAGTTAATTCAAGACTTCTGTAAAATAATACTCCTATATTAAATGGAGGGATACTGTTGATGCTAGACTTCTATAAAATGCTACAAGCATCTTTAAAGGAATGGCATTGTTAAATCATCATTTCCGTAAAATATTACAAGCATCTTTAACGGATAGATGTAGTTAATACTAGAAGTCTATAAACTGCTACAAGCATCTTTAATGGAGAGACATTGTTAAATCATTATTTCTGTATAATATTGTAAGCATCTTTAACGAATAGATATAGTTAATGCAAGACTTCTGTAAACTGCTACTAGCATCTTTAATGGAGAGACATTGTTGAAACATCGTTTCCGTAAATTATTGTAAGCATCTTTAACGGATAGATATAGTTAATGCAAGACTTCTATATATCTTCAATGCAGAGACATTGTTGAATCATCGTTTCCGTAAATTATTGTAAGCATCTTTAACGGATAGATATAGCTAATGCAAGACTTCTGTAAACTGTTACAAGCATCTTTAACGGAGATGCATTGTTAAATCATTATTTCCGTATAATATTGTAAGCATTTTTAACGGATAGATATAGTTAATGCAAGACTTCTGTAAACTGCTACTAGCATCTTTAATGGAGAGACATTGTTGAAACATCGTTTCCGTAAATTATTGTAAGCATCTTTAACGGATAGATATAGTTAATGCAAGACTTCTATAAAATGCTACAAGTATCTTTAATGGAGAGACATTGTTAAATCTTCGTTTCCGTAAATTATTGTAAGCATCTTTAACTGATAGATATAGTTAATGCAAGACTTCTTAAACTGCTACTAGCATCTTTAATGGAGAGACATTGTTGAAACATCGTTTCCGTAAATTATTGTAAGCATCATTAACGGAGGGATATAGTTAATGCAAGACTTCTGTAAACTGTTACAAGCATCTTTAATGGAGAGACATTGTTAAATCATCGTTTCCGTAAATTATTGTAAGCATCTTTAACAGAGGGATATAGTTAATGCAAGACTTCTATAAAATGCTACATATATCTTTAATGGAGAGACATTGTTAACTCATCATTTCCTTAAAATTCTACAAGCATCTTTAACTATGGGATATAGTTAATTTCAAGGCTCCTGTAAAATATTGCACTCCTCTCAAATGAAGAGATAATGTTAATTCATCGTTTCTATAAAATACTGCAAGCATTTTTAACGGCGAGATATAGTTGATTCAAGATTTATATAAAATACTACCACTTTCAAAATACTACTACTACTTTCTTTAATGGAGAGATATAGTTAATGTCTTTCATAAAATACTTAAATATAGAGTCATTGTTAATTCATTGTTTCCATTAAATACTACAAGCATTTTTGACGTAGTTAATGCTGTATACTACAAACATCTTACAGTCTTATAAAATACTAAAATTATCTTTAATTGTGAGACATAGTTATTTATGATTTCTATAAAATACTACAACTACCTTTAACAGAGACATGTTTCTTTCATGCTGTATTGCATAAGTCCTTACATAAGTTGAATTTTTTTCTTATCTATAAACTACATTAATAATTTTAAACGTTAAATTTCGTTAAAAACAAGACTCAACGTGCAATCTTTCGAATAAAATTGTTTACTGAAGGATGAACCAATTCTTTTATATATATATATATATATTTTACCAAAACTGAGCTCTGTTATCGGTATGAACTAAAGGGAAAAAATATAATAGAATTACTTGAGTTGATACGATATTAAGATAATTAGAAATATTTAAGATAAATAAAAAACTGAATAAGTGCTACTTAAAAAAGAAAAAGTGGTAAAATTGAAAAAAAAATTAAAAAATATCCTTTTACTTCTTAAAGCGAAACTTTAGTAGTGAAAATAATATTTTCCTGAAAGAATATTTATTCATTGAAAGTTAAAAAAGATAGTCTGTCAGCAGTGCTATCATAAAAACGCCCTTAAAAAAGATTATGTATAAAAGCAAAACAGAAAAAATAAAAGTTTATCCTAATTTTTGAAAGAAAGTCTTAAAGTTAAAATTTTAGTTTGCAATTACCGTATTTTCAAAAAAAGAAAAAAAAAATGAAGATCTAAGTCTAATAGAAACCCTCTTTATTGCCGCGTCATGATAAAAACGTTTATAAAAACAAATGTTTTTAAAAAAGAGAAAGCTAGATAAAAGCCAAAACAAAAATCGCTCTTATTGTTAAAACAAAAATTGTAAACGTTTAAAATATCAATTTAACTTTTTCACATTGCCGTATTTCAGAAAAAAAAGACCATAAGAGAATAACGTTTATTAAAAACGCTCTTTAAAAAGCTGTGTCTTAATAAAAACGCCGATAAAAAGAAAAGTTAATAAAAAAAAGTGAAGCAAAAAAATTTGTTTCAGTTCTGAAATGTAGCTTTAACG